ATTTCAGACAATTGGCAGATTTACGCACATGGTAGTTTATAAAAATGGGGGATATGCAGACAGAAGGTTTGCATCGGGAACCAAACACATTGACAATGGAAGTTTCTATTCAAACTCTATTCAAACACGGGACAAGCATAGCAGCACCCTAGAGGGTCAGATTTCTAAAAAACTAAAAATTGTCCTAGGATGCACACGCTAACCCATTACTGCCATTAGGGTGTGCTGTGCTAACCTGCAGTAGGAAGGCTGTTAGTGCGGCATAGCACACCCTAATGATTTAGCCCTCCTTCCAGTCTACCACCCTTCCGATGCTGCAGATCGTGCTTGGTGGTCTTGGCAGTAACCCTGCATCCAATTGTGATGATCTGCAGCACATGTTTGCAGTGATCGGGTAAATTATGGTTAAACAAACATATAGCTCAAACTCAGTTTTGTTTTGGTCAGAACTTGTACAATTGCCTCCGTCCTTAAAGAGTTAAATTACAATTTACACTGTTTTGCCACAATATTAAAACCACCTGCTTAATATGGTGTAGGCCCCCTATGTGCCACCAAAACTGCTCTGATGCACTGAGGCATGGACTCCACAAGGCATCTGAACGCGTTCTCTGGTCTCCGGCATTAAAACATTAGCAGCAGATCCTTTAAGTTCTGCAAGTTGCGAAGTGGAGCCTCCATGGATCAGTTTTCTTTTCCAGCACATCCCACAGATGCTCAATCGGATTGAGATCTGGGGAATTTGGAGGCCAAGGTAACACCTTGTACTCTTTGTCATGTTCCTCAAACATTTGTAAAAAAGTTTTACAGTCTGTATTAACCTGCTAAAAGAGTCCACTGCCATTAGAACACAAAATTGCCATGAAGGGTTGCACGTGGTCTGCTACAGTCTCTAGGTAGATAGTACGGGTCAAAGTAACAGTCACATGAATGCCAGGACTCAAGGTTTCCCAGCAGAACTTTGCCCTGAGCATAATACTGCCTCCACTGGCCAGCCTTCTTCCCATTGTACATCCTGCTGCCATCTCTACACCAGGTAAACAACACAAAGCACCAGCCATCCTCCTGATCTAAAAGAAAATGTGATTCATAGACCAGGCAACTTTCTTCCATCGCTCCATGGTCTAGTTTGAATGCTCACGTCCCCATTGAAGGCACTTTCGGTGGTGGACAGGAGTCATCATGGACACTATGACTGGTCTGCGGTTCTGCTGCCCCATATACAGCAAATTACTGGCAAATTTCTATCATGGCCAACATTATGTTTTAAAGCAATTTGAGCTACGGTAGCTCTTCTGTGTGATTGGACAAGACTTGCTAGCCTTTGTTTCCCACATTAATCAATGAACCACGTGCCATTTCTCTGGTTGACCTTACTTACAGCACTCTTGGTAGGTACTAACCACTGCTTCAGGGAACACCCCACACGATTTTCTGTTTTGGAGATGCTCTGACCCACGCATCTAGCCATCACTATTTGGCCCTTGTTAAAGTTACTCCGACCTTTCCACTTGCCCATTTTCCCAGTTTCCAACACATGATGTTAAAGAATGGACTGTTCACTTGCTGCTTAATATAATCCCACCCCTTAACCGATGCCATGGTAACAATATAATAAATGTGATTCACTTCACCTGTCAGTGATTTTAATGTTGATTTTAATGTGGCTGATCAGTGTACTTCTAATAGCCAGGCAAAGCATCTCTTTGGATTCCCAGATCAACACTTAAAAAAACAAAAACATAATTTTCTAAAAGATAATACATATTATTTACAATGGATGAGACATAGGCTGCACTACTTATTTCACATTTAGCACATACTGCCTGGAACAATGTAATTTAAAAAAAATGTCATTGATTCAGTTGGTGATTTGGCAACCCGCCACTTGCTGGATCTAAATGAATGCCCTGGGTGAGCTGAGCTCTGCAGTTAAAACATCTGTTTAACGAGGCACAGGTGAACTAATTAAGAGAGTTGAACATTTAAAATACCTGGACTAGAGTTTAGACCTCTGATATTCCCTCAAGTTTGGCATTGAGTGTATGTGTTTCCAGCTCTGTCTATACTCTGTGCCAGGAACTCTAAACATCCACTGAAGAAGATTCAGGATAGATACGCTCTCAACTCCCTGGGGCTATACAGTCTACAGGGAACAAACTGTGCTAAATTCAAGGTTCAATTAATTTCCCACTGCCACAAAACTCTGAATTCTGTCACAATACGCATTGTATTTCATAGAGTGTGTATAATTTAATGACACACAGATGTTCCCTGCAAGGGTTATTGTAATTTAGTGCACCAAAATATCTTGGTGGATAAAGATGTTGGCTGGTAAGTCTAGGTTGGAGATGTCTCACATTTTACAGGGATAACTCATTTAATATTTGAAAAAAATTCTTGAGAACGAAATTTCACTGCTCCAAAGTTACATGTTTACCCCAGTCCAGCAAATGTTTGTCAGTGTCTATGGTGATTGTAGACTTTTGTGTGACTGTCTGCCTATAGATCCTATCTCATGAAGAACCTAGCACACTGTGCTGACCTAGAAGTTAAATTTCGAATAACAATGTTTCAAACCAAATCAGATGATTTTTTTCCAACGTATGTCTACACTCACTGTTCCACGTCCTACCAATTATTGGATGAGCCATTTTTCTTCCAAGGCACCCTACTTCACCATTATAACACTTACAGTTGACAAATACCGTTATAGAAGATCAGAAATCTGACAAAACCGGTGACATGGTACCTATGAGAGTACCAAGTTGAATGCCAGAGAGCTTTACAGAATATGTCACTGAACTGTCAACGGATGTCTAAAGGGGATTTCATGGGTATGTTCTTTTTCTTACACCGGTCAGCAATGTGTGTTTGGAGACAACTACAATAATAGGTATCCACTTTTGCCATACAGTCTTGTATTTGGCTTAAACATTGAAAGAGTATCATCCAAATTGTATATTTGGTTTAGCTCCTATAATAGCAACACTAATTCTGTAATGGTATTTTATATGCATGGTCTCCATAAATCCATCTCAAGAGTTCTAACACTTGCTTTGTTCTCCAATGTATCTACATTATCCACCTCTGGGCTTGTTTCCAATGAACTTGCCAAAATGTCTGTCATCAACATTAGCGACTATTAAATCATATCACAAGTGACTTGTAAACGTTGACTGTCGAGACTTTTAACTGCTCTCAGAAAATAAGAGAAGATGATAAATGCTATGTATTGACTGGTTTCCATGATTTTTGTGAATTTTATCAGCCGACATTATCTCTTCAAATTTAAAACTTACCTCTTCTTGTTGTAAAAAGACAAGTGAACAGTTAGTTCTTAATTTTCATGTATGGGAAACTGGAAAAATGGGTAAGCGAAAACTTCTGAGTTACTTTGACAAGGACCAAAGAAGACCAAATAGTGATGGCTAGACAACTGTGTGTAATGTATGTGTTTTATGTATTTATTGTTAATTGTTTGTATGCTGTCCTGCTGATGCTTGCTACCAAGTAGGATGATCAAACAGGGCCACCATCAAGGGGGTGACAACCATGACGGTTGTCACGGGTCTGGTGGTCCTGGGGCACTCAGCTGCCTGGGCCCCACATTTTCAAAATAGAGTGCACAATGCATAGGTGGAACTACCGTTGGTGAGGCTCTACCCAGGCCTTCGGACATTGTGAGCCCATCAGGAAGCCCATGCACTTAGCGTAGCTGCAGACTTGTCAGAATTAATTAATGACCCCTGTTCACCGCTGAACTGGAACATGGAGCAGTGGAAGAAAGTTGCCTGGTCTGACAAATCAAGTTTTATTTTAGATTAGGTGGAAGACTGGGTGCGTGTGCATCATTCACCTGCGAAAGAGAAGGCAGCAGGATGCACTGTGGAAAGAAGGCTGGCTTGCTGTGTTATGCTCTGGGCATGTTCTGCTGGGAAACCTTGGGTCCTGGAATTCATGTGGATATTACTTTCACATGTAGCACCTACCAAGAGATTGATGCAGACCCCGTACACCCCTTCATGGCAATTGTATTCTCTGATGGCAGTGACAACTTTCAGCAGGATAATGCACCCTGCCACACAGCAAAATTGCTCAGGAATAGTTTGAGGAACATTACAAAGAGTTCAAGATGTTGCAAGGTGCTCCAAATTCCCCACATCTCAATTCAATTGAGCATTTGTGGGATGTGCTGGAACAACAAATCTAATCCATGGAGGTCCCACCTCACAACTTGCAGGACATTAAGGATCTGATAATGTCTTGATGCCAAATACCGCAGGGCACGCTCAGAGGTCTAGTGGGGCCCAGGTCTTGACGCATTAGAGCAATTTTGGCAGCACAAGGTGGAACTACATGATAAAATCCTACCCATGTAGGACCCCCTGACAGCCCGTGACGTCCTTGCATGCTTAGAGTCATAGGCTCCAGCCTCTGAACACTGGCTGCCAGGCGGTGTACATGTACACATTCAGATTTATTTGATAAAGTGAGAAGCCAAAGTGTATTCTGAAAGGTAAATCTGCTACTCTGGTGACTCGGTCCCTCTGGTCACTATTCTCCAACCCTCGATTGTCAGCTGAATATTCAGGGAAGATTTTTATGGAAGCGTATTAACCAGACACACACTCTTTGCTTTCCATAATCTTCAAATGTATTATAAAAAGGATGGTATATTTATACAGTATTGGTTATGAACTTTGACATACATTGGTCAAAATGTGCTTACAAAAGATAAATGTTGCTAAAATCGGAAATAGCTGATCTTGCAAATGACCACATTTCTTGTGGTCAAGCATGTCTTATTCTGCATGATACTTTTCTCGGAAGCATCAGGTCAACGTTAGTTTGCGGATGCGTCTGTTAATTCAAAAGCAGAAGCGATAAATCAAAAATAACCTGTGGTTTGTCTAGTTTTCAGCTCTTGTGTAAATCTCAGGAAAGAGAATATAATATGAGAAATTATAGATGAGAATCATTAACCCCTTCCCTTCATTCCCCTCTTTGAGCAAGACCTTGCTCATACCCCATTTAAGGAGTCCTGGTCAGACAACCAGCCATCTGCCATGGTATATTCAGGATTGCTAGCCAATCCTGCAGGTCTTTCATTATGTCTTCGGCCACTATTCCCATAGCATAGGACTAGGCATCTGACCAGTACCACAAACTTATAGATCTGGATCAGCATGTTCACCACTGCTTTGGTTATGTGTATACATTTGGAGATACTCATCATAGCAAGCTGGGGATTTTACAGGAACAGTGTTGCGTGTATGTTTGTAAATGTAGAATACAATAATCTTGAAAATAGCATAAACAAGTAGAGCAAGGATCAGAACCATAACAATAATCATTGCAATATTCTTTAGCCAGTCTAGGATACTGTCAAACTTAAACATATCTGCCCATGGGTGATCAATACCTGAATTTCTCTTCATTTCTATAGACAGGTCTTCCAATTTCTTTATAGCTAGAGTTACTTTACCATTAGGGCCAGTGTTGGAGGGGCATGATTATTTTGGCTGAGGCACATTCTCCTCTCCAGGGGGTGGGGCGTCTAGAACGTATTTTCATATCTCCACATATTCAATAAACATCTCCCACAGATTGTGTTTGATTCACTAAGGTAACATTACTGTAGGCGGAGCAGAATCCTGAAGAAAAATTACCAGGGTATACTGAGACAACATCATTTAATTTAAACTTGGGTTCACCAATAGGGTGACCCTTTTTCCATTCTTCACATCCTGTAGTATTAACAGTGGTACCTGAAAACAAACTTAGGAAGCATTCCCAGTACTCATCAGGGACATGTAAAGGTACAGTTCCTAGATGAGGTCTGGCACTACCACATAGTTTGACCTGTTATTGGAGTGGGCATTATATATCCATTCTAGCCATAGGTTTGTATCTGTATACCCTGTTTCTAGCGCTACAGTATCTTCAAACGTGGGATCTGCTATGGCCATCATATCACCACAGGTTTGAATGTGGGGCTTTAGAGGATTAACAAGAGTTTGTCTAGAGGTGAGGCTTTCCCTCGATTACCTCCAATACCTCCTCTTAAAAAGGTACTGAGATTTAAGGTAAATTTCATGGAGTGCCCAGTTTGCCCTCTAGGGGTACTTTGTTAGGGTCATTCTAGTCAAGAGGGACTTCCCATTCTTATCCTTTTTATCTAATGCATTCTGTGGCCCCAATCTGTCCCGGTGTTCCATCCAACTGAGCCCCAATAATCACAATTGTTACCCCTCTTTGAGCAATATATATTGCTCATATCATCGGTTAACATTCTCCCAAGACAGAGAAATTTCCACGTTATGGCATTCCCAAGCAATCATGTGGTCTACAAGAAACAGAAACTCAGCAGAAAAAAAACAAAACAAAAAACACTTAATACTTTTGCAGACAGATATATAGAAAATGGATGTTTAAGACAGAATGGAACTTGGGCTTATAGCAACTATATTATTGCACGGCCAGGACCTTGCGTCCTATATCTTTTAACCATTTCCCTATTCCAAAAGTCCAGTCAAAACCAGTCATATCCTCACGCAATTCCCCAATACATGGGAATCCATCCTTGGCACACTCAACATATATAAAAACACACATTGTACATCCATCCCTGGGTCAGCTAACACTTCCTCTCTCTCTGGCTAACTCTACAAAAATAAAACTAGTTCAATAGTTCAGCATAGTTCAGAAAAATTGTCTTTCACAGGGTATAAAGAAATCAGTTTAGACACCAGACATTTTGTTCCATAAAAATGGCTAAGGGTAGCAATATGGCTGACAACAAGACAATGTCAGCTTCCACATAGTTCTTCTTTTGTTTGCTGGATTTTCACCACAAAGCTCTGTGCAACACCCCAATGGTTGAAAGGGTTATTACAGAACCAGCGGCATTAGACAGCACTGCACCTTCAGGACTTTCCAGGTTCTTGCGTGCAAAGTTTATGTCCTCATAAATAAGTATCTCAGTTTCTTCGGCCTGCATGGATAATGACCAAACAGATGTAATTGCAAAATACTTATTGCATGGTCAGCCAGAGAGATTGGTGTGTAGTCCCAGAAATCAGGCGGCACAAACACTCCAGGACGGTCTCTACAATCATACAAACATAAGAATCAATACAACATGAATTAATTACCTAGGCTAAAACTTAAATTAGAGATTAAGGTTAAACCCTTAATTTGTGTAACATGTACTTCTCTTATATTTTATGCAATCTGTCTTCTATGAAGTTTTACATAATACCCCTTTGGAATGCCTTTGTACGGATGAGAGTAGCACTCACTCTATAGAAATCCTTGTTAGGATGAATATTAAAACACTAACATATACATATGGGGATAATTCCCAATAAAACTCTGTTCCTAAACTGGAACCTTGATCTGATATTCAAAATTAATTACTTTAATAATCCCGAATAATTCAATACTCTTGGATTAACACCTAAAACTATATAAAATATTACAAACATGAACCACCTGTGTATTAGGCTGGGGTTGTTGGGTGTGGGTATAGGTTGGAAGCTGTGGTTGGTATTGAGGAATCTGTGGGGGTGGGTTTGGGCACTCATTTTTCCAGTGACCCTGCTATCCACAATTAGAACAGTGTGTTCCACCAATGCTGAAGTTGTTACCTCTACAAAAGTTAGACCCTTTGACCAAATCCTCTACCTCTGCCTTTATTCCATATGCAGGATGGGATTACCTATCACACCCCCCTCTTTGTGTACCACACAGATATAATATTAATAAGCTTTTAAAGGTTGAATGGATAGTTAAATTTTGTATATAAAGCAAGGTTGTCTAGGGGTATATACATATAGGCATAGCCTTCATATAGGGCTTGCAATACTGACAGTCTGTGTCATGAGCGTAATGCAGACATGCGGTTAGGTACTTTTCCATTGTTATAATATATTGAAAACACTAAGAGCTTGCAAATTTTCAAAACGCATATAGCTTCCTGTACCTGGTGCCGTGCAAGGTTGTAGTTGGGACATATTTCAAATTGAGTATAAAAAGTCTAACCACAAAACTAAATGTTATACGCTTATCAAGAAAACAAGTTTAACCCGTTAGTGCATACTTTGGATAGCCTCTTTGCATAATTTGGCACCTATTGAGATTATTATATTTATTAATCCTCTTCTGGATCTGCAAAATGCTTTCAATTTACCCATACAAATATAATACAGTAGTTTAGGAGATTAAAATTACCTCACTTATAAATTTCAGAAATTGTCTAATCTCTATTAAAAATACCATGTTATTATTACCCCATAATCAATGAGGCATACTAGATGAATCTTACTTTGACACAAACAATGCAATATACTTTAAAAGTAGAGTTAACTCTGAGCTGGACAATACTCCCCTATTAGAACTTCTTTATGAGGGAGAGACATCTTGTCCATTCAATCCTTTTTATCCTTTTTAAAAGAATGACTTTCAGGATTAATCAATTTGCAAATGGAAACGTGGACCCACGATTTGAACAGCAGAAGTTTGCGGGGCCCCTTTCACGTGGGATGTAACGAGCGCTTTTCTTGCTCCAAGAGCGATAGCATACAATTGTTTCATTCAAGCCGGCTGGACAGCATTTCACCTTTTGTAAAAACACTAAATGCTTGCGTTAATGATATGCAAATCACTCTGATAGTTAAACTCCTACACAATGGATAATAAAATACATAAAACACATAACACACCAATTCATTTTCAAACCATATAACTCATACTCAGCATCCAATGTAATATTACATGTCATCTCACAAAACAGACGTAGCAGAAAACACATAATGGATACCCAGCAGATATGCCAATACAGAAAACACATTCTTGGGCACGCAACTACACTCTCTGTGTCTCTCCTAGGAAACACGGGTAGACACAATATGAAAGCAGTCTTAAACTAACACCTCCAAATCTCCATTCCCATATAGCTATATCAGAACACAACACAGAGCCTGATGGAACTACTAAAACAGTTATTTGCTAGGTTATTTGACTGGCATTTTTATCAGTATCACTAGACTGAGACAAACTGATTCAAATATAATTTAAAACAACACAGCAACATATAAATTAAACCACTTTCCAGTTAAGCTGCACACTTCACACATTATCACAGTCACCATTTACACAGAATAAACAGTTAACAGCTGTACTCAGAACATATTATTGTAAGGTATACCAATTTTAGTTTGTATTAGATTTATTTTAGGAATTCTTATGTATACTTTTTTTTTTTTTTTAATTCTTATTAACTTCATTACTTTAATCTACTATAGTATTGTATATAGAGAAAGGATCCATTTATATAGCACGCTCATAACTCAAATATTTGTATGAAACTTCCATTAACTAATCTGAGATGATACTGCATCAACTTAAATCTTATAGAAATTGAGCAAACATTTGGACCAGATTACACAGACATGGTTTCACCAGAATCTTACAGAACTCTCAGAGACTTAAAAAAATTTATAGACCGGTCAGTCTCCAAGAGCCTTAGTAACACAGGTAAAAACCTTTGTCCATGATCTCTGATCCAGGCTATATACCACAATTTAAAAGAACATAACACATATAATGTTAGACACAGAAGACACAAAACATATGCAGTAGTTATTACACTGGATCATTTAAAAGGAATCTGTTGCAATAAAAGGTTAGTTTACAGCGCAAAATGAAGCATATGTTGGACCGCTGAAAATGTAAATGTTGCTCTTATTTACAAACAAAAATCATATTTACAGTATGGATCCTCTGCAACAAACACACAGGGCAGGGAAGATGTGCTGATTGGAGTTCTATACAATTAATCCCATATGGGGAATTAACTTTCAAATACTAATGAAGTGACTTTTTGTCTCAGTTCTAAAAATACTGAGCTCATCATGCAAACAATGCAACACATTTACACTATCCCACTCTCATAGAAAGTGTAGTGGGCTTATGGTATTAAAGTAACAATACCAGGCACACAGATCCCATGTGAAATAACTTGCAATAAAGCAGAGTAATAAACTTATACTTCTATGCGACAGAAAGAATAAAGCAAAAGATTTAAGTAGGTCTATCAGGCAAAACCTGCGAGTCAGTTCTTTTCTAATATACAGTACTGCTATCATATATATATGTAGATATATTGGTCACTCAGGACCTGAACTTACATTTCCCATACTGCTGACTCAGGGTGGACACACTACTAACTTACCAAAGTGTGTCCCCAATATAGACAATCACCCAATTGATGGAGAATCATTGTTTGCAATAAAGACATGGACACTACAAATGTGCTTTAACAAGATTCTCAGTGAGTATATTTTCAGGGTTAGCAAATAAAGCAAAAAGAGTTTAACTATTTCATATCCTTACAGTCAGTACTTAATGATTATAATCCTTGTTTAAGCATAAAATACATATGAACAAGAAAAGTTAACTACTTTATATTCTTGCATGGTAATTTCCCATTCCTAGGACAAATCTTTCAAACACTTATTCACACTCACAACCAGACTTAACTAATGACAATTAGAGGGTGGACAAGGTGAACCTGAAACTCTGTGCACACTATCGTAGTATATTCACTTATATACTAAATTCTCTGTCTGTATCACTTTATAGACTTCCTTTTATCTGTCTAATTCTCTTATTAGACCTTCTCTAGTTCACTTACTAGAAATACATATATCTCTGTCTAGTTCCCTTACTAGACTAATTTAACGGGACCTTATGTAAAACTGAGTCATATAAAACACATGTACAAAATAACCTTTCCTAAAATGATGTAGACTTACAAAACCATGGGGATCATAGATTCAGGGCGTCAAGATAGACACAGGGAATTACTACTCACCCAAAATGGTTTGGCTACAACCCCACTTCTGGTACCAAGCTGAAAGGTAAATCTGCTACTCTGGTGACTCGGTCCCTCTGGTCACTATTCTCCAACCCTCGATTGTCAGCTGAATATTCAGGGAAGATTTTTATGGAAGCGTATTAACCAGACACACACTCTTTGCTTTCCATAATCTTCAAATGTATTATAAAAAGGATGGTATATTTATACAGTATTGGTTATGAACTTTGACATACATTGGTCAAAATGTGCTTACAAAAGATAAATGTTGCTAAAATCGGAAATAGCTGATCTCGCAAATGACCACATTTCTTGTGGTCAAGCATGTCTTATTCTGCATGATACTTTTCTCGGAAGCATCAGGTCAACGTTAGTTTGCGGATGCGTCTGTTAATTCAAAAGCAGAAGCGATAAATCAAAAATAACCTGTGGTTTGTCTAGTTTTCAGCTCTTGTGTAAATCTCAGGAAAGAGAATATAATATGAGAAATTATAGATGAGAATCATTAACCCCTTCCCTTCATATTCTCACTTTAGTGAATAACCGTGATTGTCTGCCAATCACACAAAACATGGAAACCATCCCGCCAACCAACCAGCCCAAGTTAGATTGCACTGCCTTGCAGACAACACAGCTGAGTGATGACATTACCGCCCTGCGCTCTCAGTGAGGCAGGAAATAGCATAGAAAATAAACTGTTGGTGCAAGGAGTTTCTATTGCAAATATAATGG